GTCGCAGGATATGACGCACTACGTTGACAGAAATGTTTAAATTGAATATTACTTATGCACAATTTTACAGCATTTAAAAACTTTAAGAACGTTTTTCCTTCTACAGAAGGAAAAAGACGCATGCGCCTCCGGAGCCGCAGGTTGCTGACTCCTAGTTTATACAGTATGTGAAAGCAAATACTGTAGAGGATCAGGATATGTGCAGTTTCAACAATAAAATAAAATGCAATAGTCTACATCAGTGTTTTTCAACCTTTTTTGAGCCAAGGCACACTTTTTTTACTGAAAAAATCTTGCGGCACACCTCCAGGAGAAAATGTAAAAATGTATACAGTACTAATGTAACAAAATATATACTGTACATACTCTGTGTGATATATAAAGTTTATCTTATCTTATAATGTATACAGTATACTCTGTAGCCTATATTCACAATATACAGTTATTCTCATCAAAATGCTTAAGTCCAGGCCTTGACATTAAAGGCACACCGTGTAACTCTTGGCCACTAGGGGCGCTAGACCTGCAACTTTCACGTTTAGCGCCCCTAGTGGCCACAAGCAACTCAGCACTGTCGCAAAAGTCAACAAACAGTCAGCCGGTGTCTTTTGAGTGTGTATTCAGACAGCATGCACTGGTGTGTGTGTTCAAACTGTAGAGACATGCCTACAGATATTGAGAGACTCTGCTGTGGTCAGCCTCCAGACCGCTGCATTAGTAATCTACCACACATGGACTTCTATATCCTGGATGAGGGAGTTCTGCGTCTAGCTCGTGCTGCGTGGAATGACATCTTTGCAGTCGATGACATCCAGGAACCAGGTGAAGAGCAGCGCTCATACAGACATGCAGCTTACAGCACGATCCCTTTCGCGTTTCCTCTTTTTAGCCTCCTCCGAAGGTTTAAACTTTTTCCTTGCCTCAGCCATGACCAGGAGTCGAGCAGGTGAAAAATGAGTAGCAAAAGCCTTAGCTCCATGAGTATATCAGCGCCTGTAGCCGTAAAGCAAGTCTTTCTTCCAAGTCACGTGACCTGGTGGCAGACGGTCCGTCTGCTCGAAACTTACATGGGCGGTATTTCAAGAGGGCAGCCCCGCTCGGAGCATTGCAAGTGTCAAGCGCTGTATATTGGCCCAAGTATTCATATAAAATAACTCATATGTGTCAACTCTTTAGGTCACAAAGTCCGCGGTGTGCCTTTAAGCTTTATTTAATATTTCTCGATACAATTAACAAGAGTTTGGGAATAAAGTGGCACTAACTGTGTGGAAAAAAACTAAGAAAATCCACTCTCTGCCCAAATAGTCAAATAATAACTCACACAAAGAACATGCATTGTTAATGCATGGGAAAAATTTAGGTATCCGAGCTTTAAATTCAGGAGTTTTGAATGAGGGACACGGGAGGTCCTGAACGCGAGTCCATGGTTCTGTCCGGTCCGCATGTCTGTGGTTCTGTCCACTCGACTGTCCACTCGACTATGGTCTGCGGCACACCAGACAATATTATACGGCACACTAGTGTGCCGCGGCACAGTGGTTGAGAAACACTGGTCTACATTACAAGAGAGAATAAACATGTCTCAGAGTGAGGGAGGTGGACACAGACAACACTATTGTTTGTTACAGGGATGAGAATTGGTCAAAAAAGACTGAAATGCATATTGTCAGCCATTTGCTGGCTCTAAATCTGTTTAATTTGTTCACAACATATTACTTTTGGGCTCAAACATCAACCTTTAATGCAATGCAAAATGTAGGTATCAGAGCTTTATTTAGGGCGTTTAATCGCGCTTCGAGAGGAGAGGGGAGACGCGGACTGTTTCCTGCAGCAGTGTATTTATTGGGTGCACAGATTACTCAAAGACACGCATGGTCCTGTGCGCGTTTATGGGGTTGGGTACATGGCCACGTTGAGGCTGCGCCTCAGCCACAACACGGGTGGAGCGGCTGCGAGCGGCTGGACGCTCACAGCCTCTCGCAGCCGCTGGACGCGGAAGCTGCTCATTACAAAGCGGCCGCAGATGCCCCGGAAAACTGCGGCCGCTGAGGTGGCGGAATCCCGTTCGAGTACATACAGCAGGTGCCCCGCGGATACGCGCGCCCCGCTCGAACAATTCTCTACGGATTTACACTTCTCATAAACATGTGTTTTCTATGAGGCAGACAGACCGGCCCAAATATGGGCATCAGCCCTTTGGGCATTGCCCGGTACGCCCGATGACCAGTCCAGCCCTGTTCGCTGGCATCCTTGAGCTTGGACTACAAATTCGAAGTGATGCGCAGTAGAGGAGGGCTGGGCCAAAGTGTTTTGTTAGACGCCCATGCCCTTATATAGCAGTCTCGCTGCAAATACTGTGACGTAATAATTCTAAACACGTAATAGAGAATGGCAAAATCAGAACGGGTTGAAATATCTTACCTAAACAGAATATGAAGTGTTCTCTGCAACCCATGAAGAGACTGATTTCAACTTTTTTGCACTTCTAGAGGCTCCAACTACACAACATAAGGCATTTAAGGCACAAAAAGTTGATTTTTCATGATATGTCCCCTTTAAGTACAGTATCTATCTATCTATCCATAGTCACAGGACCCCAGAGAATCACATGTTCTATTGTTCACACTGTTTTATTTAAGAACATGAACAAAACATTGTTAAAAATAATATACATTTATACGTACATGTTTTGTAAAGGGGGAGAGGCACACACACAAAGAGACAGACACACAGAGACACACAAACACAGACAGACACACGGAGACAGACGCACACAGAGATAGACACACACACACGGGCAGACACACACGGATGGAGACACACACACACAGAGAGAGAGAGAAGAATACGTACACAAACACATACACACACACACACACACATATACATATAGCACTACCATATTGAGACAGGAGGAGGGGAGACAGTAATGGCTAACCCAGCAGCTAGGAAACAGGAGGATTACAAGAGGCTTTGTGTGAAACGTAATTTGATTTTAAAGACTTCTACCTTTGTTCTACAGCACGTTAGCAATGCAAGGAGAGGCGGAGATTAGCGCTGCTGAATGTGTTTGGAAACAAAGCCGATTAGACATCCCTTCCAACAATCTGTATTGTGGCCATTATGTGCATTATTGTTCATAAATATTGTTGATTACATTGAGTTATGTTTCTATTTTTAAATGTACAACTAGATTGGCCCAGGACACTATGTATGCTATATACTAATGAAATTCCACAACAATACTGTATGTTTATGTTGCAGAGAACAGATGTGCTGCTCCAGTTTGACTGTGGTCACATACCGCCATCTACTGGACCACCGTGTTATTGCATGATGCATTTCAATGACAAGAGTCAAGATCCAGTTTATTTGTCATTTGCATTAAACACCATAGTAAGTAAGTAATCTTTTATATACCGCCTTTCACAGACCAGAGTCACAAAGCGGTTTACAAGTGTTATTTTTTTTGGGGGGAGGGCATTTGTCCTCTCACTCCACACAGAGATGGGAGCGGGGTCGCCTGTAGGCCCTGGTCCGACCGGGATTCAAACCCAGGACCTTCTTGCTGAGAGGCGAGAGTGTTATCCACCGTGCCGCCGGTTCTTCATTTTTGTGTAGTATTATAATAATAAAATCTTATATAACATAATAATTACCTATTTTTTATTCAATAATGTAAATTTATAGAAAGCAAACTTTAAATGTGTTGCCTCTCAGTCCTCTGGTCGGATGACACTTGATGGACACTTGTTATCGTCCTTACTTTTTGGTCTTTTAGTTTTTCTTCTTTTGTCTTTCTTTCCTCTTTGTTTCTATCTCTCGTCTATCTGTCTTTTGTCTATCTATTTTTCTTCTATCTTTATTTACAGTATAATTCAAGTCGGGCAGACGCTTTGTACCGAGTAGGATCACTTCTGTTTTCTCCGGGTTTAATAGTTACCTAATGTAACTTAGGTGCGTAGTCCCTTAGCGGACTTCGCTAGTGGATATCACGTGACCCCCAGGTCACAGACGCCAGAGAGATCAACAAAAAATGCTCCAATCACTAGCGACCCTCCTCTATAAAGGCCCCTGCTCCATAGCCGCGCCCCCTCTTAAACTCTGCCAAGCCGGGCTGGCCTGATGGGCTCGTAGCTAAGGGACTACGCACCTATTCGTAGAACTTAAGTTACATTAGGTAACTATTAATTCTACGTCATGGTGCTACGTCCCTTAGCGGACTTCGCTAGTGGGACACAACGCGGAGGCCGTAGGAACATGTACTCCCAGCAGGCCAGCGAAGAGTGATTGGAGCTCCGCCCGAGCAAGACCCTCACACAGTGAGCGGACTCAGGGCAGAAGAAGCAATTGCGTGTTACAGGGCCACTCCTCCCAAGGATACCCCCAAGTAACACAGACCGAAGGTCACCCGTAGTCCCAGGACGCCTCTCACAAGAGCTCCTGACGTGGACTACCTGACTGACCAAAGCACACACATATACCGCACCTGCAGGACGCCACTTCCAAGAGCTCCTGAACCAGGGCGGAAAGTCAACCGTCGGCCCCTAAGAGGGGAACATAAGGTTGCAACTCAGTCCTCTGCACCCAGCACGGAATGGGCCACCGACCGGTCCGACACATCCAAAAGGTAAGACCGGACAAAAGAAGAGGACGACGCCCAAGAAGCCGCACGGCACACGTCCTCGACCGACGCCCCCCTGAGGAGGGCCGTAGAGGCCGCCACCCCACGCGTGGAATGCGACCTGAAGCCCACCGGGGGGGCCAGACCCTGAGCCTGATACGCCCGCCGCACAGCCGTGGCGACCCAGTGCGCCAGCTGCTGAGCCGACAGCGGGGCGCCCCTGTTCTTGGGGCCCAGACACACAAACAGCTGATCAACCAACCTGAATGAAGACGTCATGGCCAGGTAATGCCTAAGCATTCCGACAGGACATGAAGGTGCCGCCGCTCCTCCTCGGGGGAGGCATGCGGCGGCGGATGGAATGCCCTAATCCTGATCACTCTCGACCTGAAGGCCGACGTGATGACCTTAGGGAGAAAAGCCGGATTGGGCCACAACTCCACCCGGCCATCGCCCTCTCAAAAGGACAGGCAAGACGCATGGACGGAGAGCGCACACAAGTCGCCCTCTTAGCAGACGCCAACGCCAGCAAGAGGGCAGTCTTAAAAGCAAAACACTCGGGACTCGCCCCCACCGCCGGTTCAAAAGGCGGGCCCGACAGACCCCTAAGGACCACCCTGAGGTCCCAAACCGGGGGCATTCTCTGAAGCGGGGGCCTCCTCCTGCGCGCCCCCCGCAGAAAACGTTTAACCAACGGATGAGAGCGGGCTGTGAACCCCCCGAAACCGTCGTGACCCGAGGTAATGGCTGCCGCGAACACCGCCAAGGTGGTGACAGCCCTCCCCTTGTCAAAAAGTTCCTGTAGGAGTCCCAGGACTCCCTCCAGCGGGCAACGCCTGGGATCCCAGGAGCGAGAACCGCACCAGCCGCTGAAGAGCCTCCATCTCGTGGCGTAGGCCCTCACAGTGGACGGTGCCCTCGCCCCCTGAATACTCTAACCACCGCCGGGGGAAGACCCAGGTCTACGAGGTTCCGCCTCTCAGCCTCCAAACCCAGAGCCTGTGGCCGATTATCGGGCGTGAAAACAGGCCCCCCCGCCTTGGACTAGAGCCCCCGGCTCGTCCGGGAGTGCCCAGGGCTCCATCACCGCCATGCCCCTCAGGAAGGGGAACCACCGGGCATGTGGATTGTCCGGAGCCACCAGGATCACCGACCTCCTCTCCTGTTCGATCCTCCGCAGCAGGACCGGCAGGAGACGCACTGGTGGAAAGGCATACAGCAGGCCCCCTGGCCAGGGGTAGTGAGCCAGGGCGTCCACACCTAAGGGCGGCTAGTCCGCGGCCCTTAAGGTGAACCAGGACGGGCACTGTGCGTTCTCTGCACTGGCGAAAAGGTCGACCACTGGACGACCGAACCTCCGCCAGATCTCCGCAGTTACCCGTGGGGCCAGGCCCCACTCGTCCTGGAGTGGGCCGCCCCTGGACATCCTGTCGGCCCCCACGTTCCGGGCACCCGGGACGTGGCGCGCCCTCAGGGACAGAAGGTGAAGCGCCGCCCACAGCAGCGTCACCGTCGCCATGCGATGGAGGGCGGGGGACCTGGTGCCCCCCTGCCTGTTCAGAAAAGACACCACTGTGGTGTTGTCTGAGCGCACCATCACGTGTCTCCCCTGCAGTTGAGGAGCAAAGTGCAGCAATACCCTGTGTACTGCCTCCATCTCCAGAAGGTTGATGTGGCGGGCTGAGTCCGACCAGCAGCCTCCTACAGAGCTCTGGCCGAGGACCCCGCCCCAACCCTCGAGTGACGCGTCCGTGAACACCTCCACGTGAGACACGGCGCAGGCCAGAGTCACTCCGTCCCGCAATAGACCCAGAGTGAGCCAAAACCTGATGTCCGATGCTGCCACTTGGGGAACCCAGATAAGCCTCCCCTCGTCCCGGAAAGGGGTTAAGCCTGAGGCGTGAGAACCACCTCTGAAATTTCCTCATGTGGAGAAGGCCTAGCCGCACCACAGCATGAGCCGCCGCCATCATTCCCAGCAGGGACCTGAGGCGCCGAGCGGGGACCCTGGGGCCCGCCAGAACCTCCCTGGCTAGACGGGTAATGTTCCTCCGTCTGTCCTCGGACAATGCAGCACGGAATGTCACAGAGTGTAGCTGCAGGCCGAGATAGATCATGCGCTGAGCCGGTTGCAGCTTGCTCTTCTCCCTGTTCACCACAAAGCCCAGGCGCTGTATGTGGGACAGTACCCAGTGCGTGTGACTCACGGCCACTTCCCTGGATGAGGCCAGTATTAACCAATCGTCTATATAGGTTAATATTCTTACCCCGGCGCGTCTGAGCGGCTCCAGTGCCGCCTCCACGCACTTTGAGAAGGTCCGAGGCGGGAGCGCGTAGCCGAAGGGGAAACGGCAGTACTCGTAACTCCTCTCTCCCACTGCGAAGCGCAGGAACCTCCTGTGTTCCGGAACTATCGGCACGTGAAAGTAAGCGTCTGTCAGGTCTATGGAGGACATCCAATCTCCCTGCCTGACACACTCGAGGAGCTGTTTTGTGGACAGCATCCGAAACTGGCGTTTGGAAATGCACTCGTTCAAAAACGCAGATCCAAAATGGGACGCACCCCGCCTGACTTCTTTGGCACCAAGAGGTAAAGGGAGTACAGCCCCCTGGTGGCGTCCTGTGGGTCTACCTCTACTGCTGCGCCTCGACTCAGCAGAGAGGAGACCTCCGCTTGTAGTGCCACTAATGACCCCCGTACCTGAGAGCGTGCTGCCCGTACGCCTCGGAATGGCGGTGGCTTTTGGGAGAATTGCAGTGCGTAACCCCTGCGCAATGTCTTCTCCAGCCACGGATCCGTCAGTAAGCCCTGCTCCCTCCAGATGCTGTAGAAGTCTGTGAGGGGCGGAACGGGAGCTGGAACACGAGACGTCACAGCCCCGCCCTCTCCTGTTGTTCCTAGCAGGGAAGGGGGGTAGACGAAAGGGTAGGGGGGCCCCCTGCGTCATACCGTGTGCGCCGGGGGCGGTCACGTGTCCTGCAGGCCCGACGTCATAAGTACGGGTCTGCTCATGCCATGTGACTCGACTGCTCCGCCCCCCCCTGGCTCTTGCCTCATGGAGGGGGGGGCGAGCCCCTGGAGTGGGAAACCCAGTGTTAGCCTTGTAGCTCAGAGGGGCTAGCACGCGTTCGGCCGAAGCACACACACCACTACTCACCAGATCCCTCCGCCTGACCTCTCTCTGGGAGGGCATAGCATGGATCAGAGGACCGGAGCTCGTAGCTCGCGTAGCGCACTGCACACCCTGCTCTGGGGGCTGCAGGCCTAGCGAAGCAACGTTATGGGCCCGGGAAGTAACACAATCAGATTTCACATTAGACATGTTACGTACCCCCAAATGAGACTCAGACAACAAGTACTGATGAAATCCCGGTCGGCCTTTATTGAAAGAATTCTTGCCACCCCGGCCTCCTCTACCATAGGGAGGCCGGCGGTGGGTGCGTTGCTCCCGCGAGCCACCCGTGGGTCTGTCTGGACCCGGGGGCCTCGTCGAGGGGGGACGATGGACAACAGAGCGTGGATACGGGTCAGGACGCCTCCCGGGCGAACGCTCTCTGCCTCTGTCCCGGCTCCGTGATGGTTGGTGGGCCTCGCGCCTCGGTGCTAGGTGTGGGGCTAGCCTAGCCGAGTCGTTGGCTGCAGACTCCAGTCTCGCCACCAGGGCCTGCATAGGGACGTCTGGGAGATGGGCAGGTCCAGCAGCTGCCTCTTCTCCACCTCCCTGATTAGCCAGCCCAAGCCAAAGGTGCCTGGCCCCGACTTGGGCTGCAGCCATGGAGCGGCCACCATTCACGGCTAGCGCCTGGCACATGCGCAGGATTGCCGCCGAGGTAGTCCTCGCCTGTGATAGGAGGTCTCCACTGAGCGCCTGGCCAGAGGAGAGTGACCTATCCAGGACCCCCGTGATGAATGCCATGTTGTTAGCCAATGCGACGACCTGTGCCGCATTGGCATAACATCTATCCAGCATCGCCAAAGACATCCTGTCCCGCTCGGAGGGAAGGAGAGGTCTGGTGCCGGGCCACACGGATGCGGAGGGGTGCAGGGCCATGCGGACTGAATCCTCGACGTCCGGGACACCACCGGTCCAGGACCAGTCCTGCCCGCTGCAGTACATGCCGTACCCCAGAGCAGGCCTCTTGGCTGCTAGGGGCTTTGGCCACTCACGTGTCACGTAATGGACGATCGGGTCCATCCGCGGGCACAACGTGGGTTGTATCCTCCTCCTCCCTCGAGTGGTGGCGCCCACAGAGGTGAAGTCCTCCACCCTCTGGATCGGCTGCGGTGGCAGAGGAGCATCCATGATGGCCGCCGCGGAGAAGTAGAGCCCAGGCATGTGGTCCAGCGGAAGCGGTCCGGCTCCGGGTTCGACACCACCTCGTCCAGGGTGAGGAGAGAGCCAATCTCCGAAGCCTCGCCATCCTCGCAGTCACCCCATTCCGCGGGCAACGACGACGTCCGACGCCGGAGGGCGAAGGGGAACTCGGACGAACAACGGAAGACATCTCTCAGAATGAAGTAAGTACTGTGGTAGATCTCAATCGGCGCCAGAGTGAAAGAGGGGGCGCGGCTATGGAGCAGGGGCCTTTATAGAGGAGGGTCGCTAGTGATTGGAGCATTTTTTGTTGATCTCTCTGGCGTCTGTGACCTTGGGGTCACGTGATATCCACTAGCGAAGTCCGCTAAGGGACGTAGCACCATGACGTAGAATCAACTAATCTGTCTGATTTGGTTTCATCGACAGATAAAGCTGTGTTGACATCTGCATAGCAGTGGAAGTTAATTCCCTGCTTTTAAATTATGTTCCCTAACGGCAGCATATAGAGAGTGAGAAGAATCGGTTCGAGTACCAATCCCTGAGGCACACCGAATTCCACTCTAGAATAGGGCGACAAGTTTTCATTCACATTGAAAAAGTGATACCGATTCGATAAATAGGATTCAAACCTGTCAAGAATTCCTCCTCTTAGACCTATGTCATATTCCAGCCTCCGCAGTAGAATGCTGTGTCAAATGCAGCACTAAGGTCCAGTAGGACCAGCATTGACACTTATCAGCAGCTAGTAGTAAGTCATTTGTGACTTTGACTAGTGCCGTTTCAGTGCTCTGATGAGCTCTCCGCTCATCAACAACAATGGATTAAGATTATGATCAAGAGATCCTTTATTTGTCCCACGGTGGGGAAATTTTGGTGTTGCATCACAGGTTATAGAACAGTAGGAAAGAGGAGCACACGGCACACGTTAAGTGAACAAAAGCTATACTAATCAAAATAAAAACAATTTAACTCTAGCATCAATAATAATTATAAAATCTCTATCTTGAAAATAAAGTAGATGTAAAAATTTAACATTGACAAAATAAGAGGCAAGTATAAAGTACTGTGTAATCTAGTGCAAGTAAAGTTTCATGTTTACAACTGTACATTAGCAGCAGTATGCGTTTACAACTGTACATTAGTAGTGTCAGGGATGAAGCAGACAGAGACGGATTGTGGTGCGCCAAACTCTGGAAGTTTATTTACGTTTCTCTCAAGTTCCAGTGGTTTCAATTGTTTCTTTCTCCCAGACAGAATAAAGGCAGTACACAGTTTATATAGTCATTGTCACGTCACACATGGAAAGACATACGTGTCACACAGAGACAGTCACATCATAGTCATAATAATCAGAGTCCTTGTAGAGTCCTGCACGTAGGCCATTGTGAATAAACTACTCACATTTCAACAACATAATCTCTTTAATACATGTTGTCAGCCGCTGGTTCAAAACTACAGGTTATCTGGACATCAGCACAAACAGACAAGTTTTACAGACTGCAGCAGTCTGGGTCTCTGCTAGATGGAAAGCAGCAGAGTGACAAAGAAATGGACCAAGAACTCTGGTCTTATACCCTGATAATTTGAAACACATGTGACCATTTGGTGACAATATGACCTATCGAACTCTAGGTGAGAAAACCAATCTCCTCTCATCAGTCAGGAGAAGTGTCTTCTTGTCTAAACACAGATGTTTCCTTCTTTCATGCTTGTTTTGTTTACTCTGCTCTTGTTTACTTATGCTCTTTCACTCTTGCCTGGGGGCTGGGAGAATTCTCCATCCATCACACACGTAGGTTAACCCAAAGCTATCTAAACTTTGAATATATTCTAATTCACTTTAATGAAAATCCAACAACTCTACTAACATTCCCTCCTGTTTTTCATTAAAATAATTACATCACATTCAATGTTTAGTAAACCAACTTAGAGATGGAACACAATGAAATTAATACAAACACAGTTTTACATTTGAAATCCAAGTTGCGTCGACTCAACTTAGAGACCCCTCTTGACATGTGTCTTATACAAATCACATTGGTTACAGAAACACACACAGAAAAGAACTCAAAAAAGTTTTTTAGAGATCATTTCATATTCATATGTAATTGCTCCCCTATAAACCATATCTCCCCCCTGTTTGAGACATTAAAAATGGCTCAATAACTAAACATAAGTCCTAATTATTCATGTGTATGAAATGAAAAAGACACAAATACCCAATTTACTCATGTAAATTAATGTAGCATCAAAATTTATAAACTAAACGTTCATTTGAAATGTATTAACCTGGAATGTTTTCACCTGAAATGTATTAACTTGAAATATCAACTTTGGTTAGCAAATTAAACACCACACCAAACAGCCTATTGTCCAGAAACGCCTGTTGTAGACACGCCTCCACACCCCGATGTCTTCTGCATTCAGCAATGTCCAGCACCATCCTGCACAGCCCCATCATGTCCAGAAGCCTCTTTTCCTGTTCACACACTTTAGAACCGACAGTAAAAACTGGAAACCTCCAGTCCTCAGATCTTTGCACAAAGGTGATGTCTTCAGTCAACCCAGTCTTTCAGATTTTTTTGGAAATCTGCAAAATGTCCCAAACACACAGTCAAGTTGCTGATTTGAGTCTGACCTCTGGATGACCCTTTGCATTATTGCTTCTGTCGTTGCAGCATTTCGCCTTGGTTTGGCCTGATGGTTTGGCTTAGTTTGGCTTGGTTTGGCCAGCTGGTTGATGATTGGTGGGGGTGGGAGTGGGCGTCTCCTTCACAGGAATGAACTTTTAGCTTTTTGAGCATCAAAAGTGGTGTTTTAGGTGTTTCCCTCAAACAAAACACACAAAGTACACATTTGTTAATACATTTCAACCTTAGTCCAGTAAACCCCAAAAGAAAACCTTAGCAGTTAATGAAAACTGTTGCTGAAGACAGTCCTATTACTGTATATTTTCTTGTGTCAGAAATGAAAACATCACAATTAACTATTGAAATAATGTATAACTAGTTATATTCAGAATCAAACAGATTTACATTTCTTTGATGAAACCATTAAACATTAAACATGCTACAGTAACTTCCCTTACTGTTGAATTTAAACCCTTCAAATGAAACTAAACATGATTATTATTCAAATCTAAAAAATTAAACTGCTTATTTTCAGAATTTTTCCCACTTATCTGATTGTTTTGTGTCTGCGTTAGTCAGAGAGAACCTTTTTAGGAGTCTGATTCGTCGTTCCCATCCACAGCACCCCTGCCGATGCTTCTCCCCCTCCTCCTGCTCCACTGAGTTACTCCTGCTCCCAGATCTGTCTCTCTGGTTGGAGTGAGGTGAAGCATGTGACTGATGCTGTCCCGGGAACAACCAAACACTGTCCCCAGACGTCCCTCTCTCAGCTGAGACAGAAACAAACTCAGAGACAGAACAAAATATTAGTTGAGAATTCTGTTAATTTTACCCTAATATTGTTTCATATTATTTGTGAAATAATATTTTAGTCCTGATGTTTATTCCTATTTTATAGTCTGTTAGTTCAGTCAGTTAAGTCCTAGACACAGAAGACAAACACTTACATGCAAAACCTGAAGTAACAAACAAACAAATACTACTCACATAAGAGGAGATGTTAGTCTGTTAAATCTTACACATAAAGACAGTTACTCACAAAACAAACAAAAACTCCAAATCAAACCCAAAAATAAACATAAAAGTCTACTTGTGTGCACAAAATACCAGCTTTTGTGATCATAAGCAAACAAAAATCAAAAATCTGAGCTAACTTTGAGTCTTATTTATCATCAATCTAATTCAGTTTCAGCCTAATCCTTTTGAGCTTGTACCAAATGTTGTAACTTTAAAATTGTCCAATCACAAAAATTTCACAGCTCAAGTCAATTCAAATCTATCAATGTTTATCACTGGTTCCACCCCTTTTTAATTATTTTTGTTAATGTAGCTAGCATTAACAAAAGTAGTTAAACTATAACAAACTTACTACTCCACCCAACTAGAGTTGAGCAGACGGGAGGGACAGAATTGGGAGCAAGGGGGAATGAGGGGAAGAGGGGGAACAGGGAGGGGGGGAGGGAGGGGAAAAGGCAGAAGGGGACACAAGGGCTGCACCTCAAACGTGCACGCACACACACACTCACACTTTAGGCCTTTATATCTAAATTTCAATTTCCAATTTAAATTATTATTTAGAAAAATTGTTGTCGTCTTATTATGCAGGCTACCACAAAGTTCTACCAAAAAGTCACTAATCGGCTGAAGAAAAAATCACCACTCTCAAAATGTTCCATTTTCCCTCAAATGGCCAGATCTGGTTTTCCAACTACACGTATGCGTCCATAGTGCAGAATTTGTTTTCTCTTCTCTGAGGATGTTTATTCACCCAGTGGACAGAAGTTTCATCTATTCTGTCGCTTTGTTGGTACCGATGAACTAACCAACGGGGACTTTCACCCTTTTAAATTCTCCACTTTCTTAGAAGTGCGTGATATCTCACTGCCCCAATGCTTTTTGAGGAGATAAATTGGATTTTCTGCCTTCAAAGACGATTTAAATTTAGTTTCTTTTTTTTTTTAGAAAAAATTAGTTTTACCTTGTCCATGTGGATGTCCAGAAACTCTAGTTCTGTCGTCAACTTCAATCCGGAGACTGGCCATGCCTCAAAGATGGAGTCCTCAAAGCAGTTCTGAATGAAGAAGACCTCACCGCTGCTTCAAACTCCATGTTTGAGGCATCCTCAGCTCCGCAGAAAAGCATGTTGGCATCCGGCGCAAGAAGGACCAAAATATGTGAAAAAACTAGTCACATTTCAACAACATAATCTCTTTAATACATGTTGTCAGCCGCTGGTTCAAAACTACAGGTTATCTGGACATCAGCACACACGGACAAGTTACAGACTGCACCAGTCTGGGTCTCTGCTAGATGTAGCAGCAGAATGACAAAGAATGGACCAAGAGCTCTGGTCTTATACCCTGATAATTTGAAACACATGTGACCATTTGGTGACAATATGACCTATCGAACTCTAGGTGAGGAAACCAATCTCCTCTCATCAGTCAGGAGAAGTGTCTTCTTGTCTAAACGCAGATGTTTCCTTCTTTCATGCTTGTTTTGTTTACTCTGCTCTTGTTTACTTATGCTCTTTCACTCTTGCCTGGGGGCTGGGAGAATTCTCCATCCATCACACACGTAGGTTAACCCAAAGCTATCTAAACTTTGAATATATTCTAATTCACTTTAATGAAAATCCAACAACTCTACTAACAGCCATATTGCTATCTAATACTAACACCCTCCCCTTTGATCACATAATCACATGTGATCACTCAATTTGATCAATCAATAAAGTGGAAAAAGAAAAAAAAAATCTAAAAAAAACTTTTAAAAATTATTAAAAAACCAAGAAAATGTATGCATTAAACTCGCAATCATCCAATCAATATCAGTGGAATTTATCCTCTATCCTGGGAAAAATAAACAAAAAAATAAACAAACAAAAACAAATACTATTGGACACACAAGAACTCAGCAGATTCAGTCAAAACACAGACAAAAACAAACTGACTGCTAATTTACACATCACGCGTTACAGCACGTACGCGTTATACGCGCAGCAGACGCGCGTAACTTTTTTCCATGTTAACCTATGATGATATTTACACTTCTAGCGTTATACGCGCGTATGACGGGCGTATGACGCGAAGCTGCGCTCTAATTTAGGATGGATTTCTAATTTTGTGCGCGTACCAACGCGTCTCCCATTGAAATCTCATGTAAAACATGATTTTTCTAGCGGCCCTTGGCTAAACATCAGCAGGAGGAGCAGCAGGTTTTACAGTGATTCTGGACATCGTTTTTTTTCTTTCATAAAGTCTCGCGTCTGGCCAAACCAGCGCACAGAGACCATGAAGACAAACACATGCATGTGATTTGTGTTGCTCTACATCAGTCCTCTGGCCCGTACTGTCCTCTGCACTGCTCCATAGACTACACAGGGAGAGCATCAGAAGACGCGGACCTGCGCGCACGGTCAGTGTAGATACTCCAAAAAAATGTTACGCGCAGAGAGCGCGCAGTAAACGCGTACGCGCTGTTTACGCCTACTGTGTAAATTCCCTGTGAGTCTCAGGCTGAGTTTACACGGAGACAATGTGGCAGTAAAACGGTACAGTTGGATGTCGGTTGCTACCAACCGTTCATACGAAGACTGTGTTCCAGGGGGGTGAAAACGTAAGTGTTCAGATCCAGCCTGCAGAGTGGGACAACTCAGATACGCTGCACAGCAGGGAGCTTTTTCACACCCGCGAGAGGGGAAAAGGTGTGAAATCCCCCTCTGCTCTGACCCCCACCTCCGCGCTGCTCCCCGCACGTACATTTGGACATGCGCAGTAGCGGAGAACAACCATCAACAACAATGGCGCTACCCACACAAACTAGCTACGTGGACTTCCAGCGCGGGACAGAGGATAATTCTACTCCTTCGTTCGTCCAAACGAGACCACGCGAAGCTCTAGGTTCAGTTCCCATTTTCACAGCTGCTGTTAAAATGCAGAATGATGTTGGTACTTTCTGAGGGTCTGGCACAGGAAGTGAGTACACTGCCGAGGGGGGGGCTGGGCACGGGGCTCGGGGTCGTGTGTCGTGTTGTAAAGTTTATCTGCCCACTACTGGCCGGGCGCTAGAACTACATCGTTTTTCAACCTCATGTGAACGCTGAGAAATTTGCATTAGGAGCCAGGTCGTTTCTGTTAATAGCCTGGAAACGTCTGCGCAGCGTCTCAGTATAAACAGGGCCTCAATTTAGAAGCTAATTTCACTTTTATTACTCTACTTTTATTCTAATGCTAATTGTTTACACTTCACTTAATTCCCTGTATTATTATCACTTTTCAATCTTAGACTGTGTACTTTACTTTCATTATTCACTATAGTTTAAAACTATTCTAATCTATTTACAAATATGTTTGCATATTCTTATTGAGCCATATTCTTAAACATATATTTTAATCTAATAAATCTCTCTGTGGTTTTCTTTCATTATCAGTGGTTTATTGTCTACATTCTGTAATATAGGATAGTGTTATCTTACCACAAACCTATAGGTGGCAGTGTGGGATAAGGGGGATAATAAGAGTGCACTTGGCGGGTTCAGTCTCTGTTATGTTGTTGGCTGCATGTTGATGATTAAAACCCCGTGTAAGCCACCCGGTGTTTATGACTTCTTTAATGACAAGGATACTACATTTGGCAACGAGGATACTGGTGAGCTCGAGGACGCTGTTGGGAAGAAAACGGCTCGAGCGTTTCTGAATTGATTTTCGGCCAATGTCGGACAACGAGGGAGCTAACCAGGCTAACGCAGTTGCCGGAGGAATGGCGGCGGCTATGCTGGGGATGCTTTCGGTATTTGACAGTCAAGCGCAGACTTGGGAGGAGTACTGTGAGGTTTTGGGATACTTCTTCGAGGCTAATAACATCACTGATGCAGGAAGAAAGTGTGCAATATTGCTGAGCTCCGTTGGAAGCAAGACATACAGTTTGATGAGAAACTTGTTGAGCCCGGACAAACCTGGTGATAAGTCATTCACGGAGTTGACTAATCTGCTTCAGTCACAGTTCAATCCAAAGCCCAGTGAAATAGTTCAGAGATTTAAATTTAATTCCAGGACTAGAACGGCAAACGAAACTGTGACGGAGTATGTGGCTTTGCTGAGGGAGCTGGCTCAACATTGCAACTACGGGGACAAGCTGAAGGAGATTCTGCGGGATAGGCTCGTGTGTGGCATTTCGGAGGACCGCATACAGAGGAGGCTGTTGGCGGAGCCCGACTTGACATTTGAAAAAGCCTTGAAAATCGTGCAGGCCATCGAAACGGCAAACAGGGATGTGCGTGACTTGCAGCCGACGCTGGACAGTGCGGCGGAGAAAAATGCAACACCAATGACAGTGCATAAAGTGGGAACGGAGAATAAACGACAAAGTAAGAGCGTTCCATCAGACTGTTATAGGTGTGGGTATGATCATTTTGCGCGGGACTGTCGTTTTATAAATGAAAAATGTCATGGCTGTGGTAAAAAAGGGCACGTGAAGAAAATGTGCAGGTCCGCGCCTCCGGGGGCCCAGCAGACTAAGGGGGGTGGAAAGAGTTTTGTGAAGGGGGAGAAAGGTAGCCGTAAGGAAAAAAAACAGTATGCACACCACACGGATGAGTCCTCTGAGACACAATCTAGTGATGAAGAAGTGTTTACATTACACAAAGTAAGAGAATCAAAGTTAGAAAAGGTAGACCCTATTACCACACAGCTAGTAATAAATGGAAAAAAAATAATGTTCGAGGTGGATACAGGCTGTAGTGTGACAATTTTGAAAAAGACTGAATACAGCAAGTTGTGGCCAGAAGGAAAGGCACAAGAACTGCAAAATTGCCCATTGACTTTGAAAACATATACGGGGGAAAACGTCTCTACATTAGGGACTACAAAAGTGACTGTGACGTGCAAGGACAAAGTTAAACAGTTACCACTGGTCGTGGTAGATGGCAGAGGGCCAAACCTGCTAGGTCGAGCATGGCTAAGGGAGTTGAAAATGAACTGTGTGCATGTAAACAAAATGGATCATTCTCCACTTACTTTACAAAATGTGCTTAAACAGAAGGAAGAGGTTTTTAAAGAGGAACTGGGGACCTGGAGAGGGCCGCCGGCAAAAATATATATTAAAGAGAATGTTGCCCCAAAGTTCTACAAGCCTAGGCCCGTACCTTATGCCATGAGGAAGAAAGTAGAGACAGAGCTGGAGAGACTCACCAAGCAGGGGGTCATTGAACCAGTGAAGTTCTCAGAATGGGCTGCACCAATAGTACCGGTGTTGAAGCCTGACGGAGGGGCACGCATTTGTGGAGACTACAAACTCACGGTGAACCCAGTCTCTAAGCTAGAGCAGTATCCAATACCAAGGTTGGAAGATTTGTTTGAGAAGCTGACTGGGGGAGAGAAGTTCAGCAAACTGGACCTTAGTCACGCATATCAACAAGTCTCTCTTGATGAGACATCAAAGCCGTATGTCACCATTAACACACAAAAAGGGCTCTTTCAGGTGAATCGCTTACCATTTGGTGTTTCTTCTAGTCCCGCTATATTTCAACGAATGATGGAAGGACTGCTGTCAAGAATCCCTAATGTGGCTGTGTACCTGGACGACATCCTGCTGACGGGCCGGAGTGACCATGAGCATCTGGAGACGTTAAATGAGGTTCTGAGGCGGCTACAAGAGGCAGGTCTTCGATTGAAACGCAATAAATGTGCCTTCTTGGAGCGAGAGGCGGAATTCCTGGGGCACAAAGTGGATTCTGCGGGGCTCCATCCCCCGCCAAACAAGGTAAAGGCCGTCGGACAAGCACCTGCACCCAAAAATGTCACAGAATTGAAGTCCTACTTAGGTTTACTTAACTACTACAACAGATTCTTACCAAACCTGTCAACGTTGCTGGCGCCCTTACATAAACTGTTGAGAAAGGATACACCGTGGTGTTGGAAGGAGGAGCAAGAGAGGGCTTTTGGGGAGTCTAAGAAACTCTTGCAGTCGTCAAAGGTCTTAGTGCATTATGACAGCCAGAAAGACTTATTATTGGCCTGCGATGCGTCGCCTTATGGTGTGGGGGCGGTGTTGTCACATCGTATGTCAGACGGGCAAGAGCGACCTATTGGCTTCATGTCACGGACACTCACGCCAGCCAAATCAAACTACTCACAACTGGACAAGGAAGGACTGGCAGTGATGTTCGGCATTCAGCGTTTCCATAAGTACTTGTATGGAAGGAGGTTTGTCATTTCCACAGACCACAAACCACTATTGTCACTTTTCAATGAGTTGAAAGCTGTGCCTCAAATGGCATCCCCTCGCATCCAAAGGTGGGCGGTGACTTTGAGAGCATATGAATATGAAATTGTCTACAAGCCAGGGAAATATCACGGCAACGCAGACGCGCTGAGCCGACTGCCCCTGCCTCAGCCATCGACAGAGAAAGTGCAAGAGGATCGAGTGCTGATGATGGAGGACGCGTTGCTGGTATCAGCAACCGAAGTGAGCCAGTGGACACGTAAAGACCCTGTGTTGTCCCGAGTTCGGCAGTTCATTCAACATAGTTGGCCGTCACAACAGTCAGACCCAGCATTCCAACCTTATTCCGTCAGGAAAATGGAGTTAAGTGTGCAAGATGGTTGTGTATTGTGGGGGTCACGCGTGGTGGTGCCCCCGCCAGGTTGGGGAGCTTTGATTCGCCAACTGCATCATGGTCACCCAGGCATTACCAGAATGAAAGCCTTAGCACGTAGCTACTTTTGGTGGCCAAAGCTAGATACAGACATTGAGACAGTGGTGAAGGGATGCAGCACATGTCAAGAACATCGTAACGTTCCGGCTCCAGCGCCCCTCCACCCTTGGGAGTGGCCAAGCAAACCGTGGCAAAGGCTACACATAGACTATGCAGGACCATTTATGGGTCATATGTTTTTGATCTTAATGGATGCTCATTCAAAATGGATGGACGCATACCCTGTTTCAACAGCAACTTCAGCTAAAACTATCGAGTGTCTACGGAAAAGTTTCAGCAGTCAAGGGTTGCCCGAGATGGTGGTGTCGGATAATGGATCATGTTTTGTGAGTGCTGAGTTTAAAGATTTTATGAAAAATAACGGCATTGATCACATTACCACGGCTCCATACTACCCTTCTTCAAACGGTTGCGCCGAGCGGGCAGTCCAGACCTTCAAGTGCATGATGAAAAAGGCGGGTGAAGGAAATATCCAGACTAACGTTTCGAGGGTGCTATTTAATTACCGCATTACCCCTCAGTCGACCACAGGGTTGTCACCCGCTGAAATGCTACAAGGTCGTAGGTTAAGATCAACTTTGGATCTAGTGCATCCTGACCTGAGATCCAAGGTGGAACAGAAGCAGGGCGTTCAAAAGAAGCATCATGACAAACAAAGAACAGTGAGAAGTTTCTTAATCGGAGATGCAGTCATCACGCGAAACTTTAGTTATGGGCCCAAGTGGATCCAAGGCTTCATTACCAAAGTCACCGGCCCTGTGTCTTACAAAGTCATGTTAGGGGATGGTTCCATAGTGCGTAGGCATGTGGACCAGATACTGGACAGACCTGAACAAAAAGACATTATTGACCCGGAGGGAACGGGACCTCCGACAGTACCACTTGTGTCGGCTGACGCTACACCATTGTCAGAGGAACCTGGAGCAGTAAGCGTGAGTGGTGCTCCGGAAGGGAATCCACAACTCAGGGACATAACAACTCCATCAATGGTGGTCATTCCAGAGACCGTGAGGGAAGCGCCGCTGGTGGTGCCTGCACGCCGGTCTCAACGAACTGTGTCTAAACCCAATTTTCTGAAAGACTATGTCTGTGGGAAGTAATCTAGAAATATAAAAGGAAAGAAGAAGAAAACCGTTACTATGTTAAGTTTCAAGCTAAGTTAAGTTAACTGAGTTTAAAAGGTTTGGCATGGCTACTGAAGGGCTTGTAACAGTTTGTTTTGTTTGATTTATTCATTATGGTAATATTAGTACTCGCTTAAGGGGGGAGGAGTGTAATATAGGATAGTGTTACCACAAACCTATAGGTGGCAGTGTGGGATAAGGGGGATAATAAGAGTGCACTTGGCGGGTTCAGTCTCTGTTATGTTGTTGGCTGCATGTTGATGATTAAAACCCCGTGTAAGCCACCCGGTGTTTATGACTTCTTTAATGACAAGGATACTACAATTCTCAGGAATAAAACTGAACACAGTAAAACAAATGATTAATATGAACATTATTATGGCGGTCAGTTTTCCAAATACATTTGTTGAACCAGGAAGTGCTGTCACTTCCTCCTCTCCTGAATGTACATTATTAATCAAATTAGTATTATCCTTACTAAGCCCAAACCTGCTAATCTATTTTAGCAGGTTTGGGGTTGGGGTCAGTTATTATTCTACAATGGTGTTTGATTCTCTAATCTGTGCTGGCGAATCGACAACTTTTTAAACTTCTCAATATCTAAATATCTACTTTTTGTTTTGGGCCATACCCAAATGCATCAAAATGCTTTAAAATGCTTTTGACTCTCTATTGGTTGGAATCTATCTCATTAATCTAAGCTACATTAGTCTAGACTACACTCATGAACTTTTTGTATCGTCAACATTCACAGATGTTTGAACACAAGTGAATTTAACAAGTATCTAATAAAACTGTACATAAAACTGTAAGTAACTTTATCCACTTTTGAAGTAAATGCTTGTGAAATGGTCCTTTTACCATTTGATATTAACACTGGCTAGAAATATTCTCTATTTTATGGTTGATGCATTTATCTATTTCTCTATTGTGACTCCAAAGCTCGTTTGCAGCTTGAGTCAAGGCATATTTCTAAATTGTGACTTCTGTCACTTTTAATATCTCTAACATAATTCTGATTCTAATATTTTATCTGCTCTATCAGAAGGATAACATTGTATGGTACTATTTTAACTCTTATTTGGAAATGTGTTTATGAAAAACAAAGGAAGTCAAAATCTACTTTTTTACTACTATTTAACATCTACTAAAACGCTACAGTACTCATACTTTATCATTTTAAAACATTTTAACAGTTGCTCAGTCTCCCAGACTAAAAAGTCAAAGTTTTTGTCTGTCAGATGTCTGAATACTTAACATTTATTGCATTTGTCACAGTTTCTGGTTGTAGCAATAGCATCGGCAATAGACGTTTTTTCATTGGCTGGTTCTTGTTCTGCAAATGTCTGTGTCCAATAGATCATCAGATGTCCAGAAGCTAGGGACAAACAAAAACAAAAGAAGAATCATGAGTATCTGTCTCATTTAGCACTCATCAATGTATGATTTTGAAAATATAAACATCACTCCCCAGGTTTTTCTCTCTCAGGTCCTCAGATCCTCAGGTCCTCAGGTCCTCAGGGTCCCCTGAGGGTGAGTCTCATCAGGTCAGGTCATATTTCGAGAGATGTCATCTTGGACATCAGTAGGGTCCAAGCCATGGTTTTGGTCTCCAGATTCATTCTGGTCACTCCAGGTACATCAGGTCACTTGGGTTGCTCTTTGCGATGCACTTCTGGTCAATGGTGCAGTGTCACAGTTCCTGTACACAGCTTGTTATGCAGTAGTTACTCTCTATGGTTAAGTCACTTTGATTCTACTTTAAAGACAATTTCTATTCATGCTGTTGCTAATGTCCCTCAGACAAAAAGCAAGCGCAATGATTCAGTTTACTTCTCTAATTTGTGTTTTCATCAGATCTAATCCTAATCAATGTAATTACTTCACAGAGTACCAAATCAACAAATCAAAACAAAAAATGTCAAGACAGAGGTCAATTAAGTCCATGACAATATAGAATTCAAATGAACATTTCTGGTCTCAAAAAATACTGATTCAAGTTAGACAATTACAAATATTTGTTTACATTGGAGTAAACTTTTAATGCTTTTTGCTCATGTTCTGCTTTTTCACGTATCTATATGTAAAGGCGACAGTAGCTCAGTTGGTAGAGCATTGGCCTTTGGGCCTGAAGGTTGTGGGTTCGAGCCCACCATAAAACCTACTTCACGACTCCCACTGATGACTGCTGTCGTTGTGTCCTTGGGCAAGACACTTAACCCTACTTTGCCCTAAGCCCCCACTGAAAGATCTCAGCTCCTGTGGACTCACCACCTGCAGGAGGATCAGTGAGGGGCTGGTGCTCTGTGTACTGGGTGCAGCTCTGACTGCCACCCCCCCGACCCAGAAATGGATTAGGGGAAGAAAATGGATGGATGGATGGATATATGTAAATGTGAATGTGTGAGTGTATGTGTGTGTGTGTATGTAGGATGTGAATTTTGGGGTTGTGTCTCAAGACTCCTCGAACCACCTGCATTAGAAGGTCACACTGGCTCGATGTAAACAAGCAAAGTGGGCACACTTTCAGATTGCAAAACAACTCACCCACCACTGCCTACAGAAAACCCCACTTTGTGGCCCCGGTCTCACTGCCACCTACGACCATCTGTCTGTAGTGGGGGAGGGGCACACGGAGGTAGCTATGTCGCCTTTACGATCTGCGGCTGGTTGGATGGTGTCTACTCTGGGCTGTTCTGATCCCTCAGTGTCCAGTCCAGCAGTGACCCTTGTACAGTGTGGCAGAGTCTGAAAAACAATCCTTGAGACGGCCAATTTAAAAAAACAACAGATATCAGTATGTGAATGAGATTGTTTTTCTCTCTAGTAAGTAAGCAGTAAGTAAGCTTTTATTTATATACCGCCTTTTCACTGCACATCGGAGTCTCAAAGCGGTTTACAATTGTTGGGTGGGGGTCGCCAGTACAGGAGGCACATGCCATACCTATTGTACATATTTTTAGTGGTAGGGGAAACCGGAGCACCCGGAGGAAACCTACGCAGACACGGGGAGAACATGCAAACTCCACTCAGAAAGGCCCTGGTCCGGCCGGGATTCGAACCCAGGACCTTCTTGCTGAGAGGCGAGAGTGCTATCCACTCAGCCACCGTGCCACCGTGCCTCTCTAGTCTAAGTCTAAACAATTTTGGAGCGCTCTTGGCTTTCCCACATGCGCTATGTAAATAAACTTATTACTTATTAATGATGACATTTGAAGACCAGAAACTCTCTTAATATGAAAAACAATACTCAAATCTCAAAAAACCTTCAAACTTTAAAATATGTATTATGTACTTTTGTACTGTGTGTTTAATTATCTATGCTTCCTTGGGTTTCACTTTATGGAATTTCCCCTTTACACTTGAACATTTATCTCAGCATATATTCTACTAATTTAAAATAATTGCAGCATTTTTCAAATGAAGTCAATATGAATTGGAGCACATTTCAGAGTCTCCTGTGCTGTGGCATCAGCAGGAGCAACAAGGTCAGGTGCATAGTCAAAACAAAAAAGTCACTGCTTGCAATGTGAATTGGGTGAATTGGGTAGAGTTTAACTTAATAATATAATACTTTTACAGCTAATCCTAATTCCCTCTTTCTTTTTAGACGAAGTCTATGATCAATAATCATTTTTAAGTTAAGAAATAAGCAGCAGATTTAAAAAGAAAAGCAAAGCTTTAGCACTAATATTTGGGTTTCAAAAACATACTATTCAAAACTTCTATTCCTTAAATGTGTTTAAAAACGTTTAACTGTGTCATAACACAATGCTCAATTGCAAATTTTGCAAATTTAAAAACTTAATAAAAGCCAAAATCCTAAAAGCAGGTTTGTTCTGATTCAGAGCCAGAGTAGCGAAGGAGGGGGCCGTTTCCCCTGACAACGGCAGCAAGATAGAGATGTGCACACACACAGGTTGTGTCCAAAACGGTAGGCATCGGGCCGCGTAGGGTGGATACGTAGGCATCGAGGGAAGGCCGCGTAGCCACAGGCGAGGTAGGAGGCGAGACGTGATGTGGATTTGGACAGCAGCTGCCTTCTGCCTTCGTCACGTGACTACACAACTCAGAGCGGAGCGGAAGGACACGGCGGCCATGATGGACGGTAAAAAGTTCTAAATACGCTTTAAAGGCGCTATACCCGTTTCTACAATGTTTGAATGTTTAGCACCGCCCCCAACTCGCTCACAGGCTTCTCATTTCACCTACGCTCTCATAACACGGAGCCACCTAGTTTTATTTGCGATCTGATACGTATGCTAACATTAGCATTAGCGTAACTTGTAAGCTGTACAACAATCACTGATGAAATGGCACTAAAGCAATGCACTGCTAACACAATATATAAGTAAAAATACGTTTCGCGTCCGGATGTATTAATTTAAACATTAGAATATATTCTAATATTTAATTATAATTTATTATACAGCTCCTCACAGCAGTAGAACACTCCATTGACTTGAATGCAATTCTTCCGATCATTTTTTCTTGATAACAGAACTCTCAAACCAATAATGACCGCAGCCCCAATGCAATCTCTGTTTGTAATTCAGGTGTGTAAAATACTGCCATTACTTTGCAAGTACAACAAGCTATCAGCGCCTGTCACTACATTGTGCAGTTTTTCTGCACACTTGTCTGTGAAGAGAAGCTAGCGGAGCTAGCCACGCTCAATAAACAAATACATATCAATCAATCAACACCATTAAACGTCAATCGGACAATACAGTATACAGATACATCCTTAACACACATGCACGGACGATTTCAGAATTTGCTGTCAACGTTTTCATGACAAAAATACTTTAATGTGACAAAAAGCGATCGCGAAAAACCCGGAAGTTACCATGAAAAAGCTAGCTAGCTTAGCTGTTACCTGCCTAGCACGTCCCGGTGAAACCTTTGGGAGCTAACTATTTTATTTGCAGTCATTAAATACATTTCTAATTATAAGGGTTGTCTAATATTTGTTC